AGGAATGAATAAAAAATTAATTGAGAAATCTGTTATTAACCAATGAATATAGAATCTCATACCCCCCCCCTGAAAAAAATGTAATGATGAAATTAAACAATAGTCACATAGAAATAAGATGATTATTTCATGATTTGTTGATTTGATAAATTGTGGTAACTTATCGATCTAAACAAAGTTTAGTTGTAGTTATGAGTAAAAATTTACTATTATCAGAATGAGTTTTGTGGAGATTTTCTTTAGAAATTTCACTGGTTGAAATCATGAGTCAATTGAAGCTAGACCACCATGGAAAACCTGGAGGCACTGAATGACCGTTTCGTTCTATTGTGAGACACCTTAGCGGTGCGCATCCACGATCCCGCTCGCAAGATTTGAATCCAGGGCGCCCAGTATCGCGCGCGAACGCTTAGCCTACTGGACCACTGAGCCGGCATCCAATGGTGTTAGTGTCTAACATCAACCAATCCACGAAATTGCGTGATCATCTTTCATTGTACTGAGGTAGATACACTGCTGAGGAGTCCCATACCAGAAAGAAACGGTCGTCCAGTGCTTCCAGGTTTTCTAGGGTGGTCTAGGTTCAATTGACTCATGATTTCAACTTGTGTAAAAATTTACTATTTTCTTTCAATGTTGTTACCTTTAGTCAAGATAATACATGAAATTAAACTTGAATTATTTTTGTTGTTGATCGTAATTGTGATACGTAGTAACAGGTTAATCCACGAATAGTTTTATTACATTAAGTGATTATTTTTAAAGGTAAATATTAAATCACTATTTTTGTTCTGAAACTGTTTAAAGTATCCTTACTACTTTCTTGACATAGGGAATTCGTTTGATATCAAGAATACATTGAGAAAGAGCGAAGATTGCTTAGTCCATGTCATTTCGTCTGTTTCTGATGTTAGTTAGTATTGATTCCGAGAAGATATGAATCTTTGACTAACCATTCATGTCTGAGTAAAGCATAGATACTCTATTCAATAGCTACAAGTTATATTATTTCTTAAGATTGATTTGAACCAGTTACTTTAAGTATATATATATATATATATATATATATAACTGTTGGAATGTAGATTTCAATTCTTAACTGTACATAACGATATTTTGTCAGCCCTGAGTTCTGTGGTTGGAATGGATCTAAGATTAAGAAACACTGTGATGAAGTGTCTCAAACTCTGCATATCCTGCTCATATTTTTATTTCGAAATCACGTATTTTAATTTCAAATTGTTAATATATTCAATATTTAAATTAACATTCTGTGTTGATCGAGTGCAAAAATGGACAATCAGTGATTACAAAATGTTCCGGACATGGTTGAATTACATTAAAATTATGAATCGATCAGTGATAGATCATTAGTGAAAAACTGGAGACACTGGATGGTTGTTTCATCTTAGTATAGAACTCTTTAGCAGTGCTCATTCATGACATCGCACGTGGAGCATGAACCCGGGACGCCTAAACTTTAAACCACTGATCCAGCATCCAGCAGTGTTAATGTCTAACTTCAACCGATTCATAAATTCGACTGTTAAAATCACTACAGTCTCCACAAATCTCAATTCTGATTATATTTTACAATAAATAAATTTGTATGAAATATTTGAATTTCAAGTTCGATATGTTTAAATAACAAAATGTTTTACAGGTAGAAAACATTCAACGATTGAAATGTTCCCCATAAGAGATTTATCTAATTTACGAAAGATTTTATTTTATTCTTCAGTCTATCAAATCATTATTTGTTTTCGATTTATTAAAGAATAATATTGTATATTATAAATTACTTGAATAAAAGTGGTACTTGAAAATGAGTATAATTTTATAAGTTCAGCTGTCGATCATGAATAATTAAAAGCAAAATATTTTTGTAAATGTAAAATGTATATTTAGAATAGAAAGCATAGAGCTTTTAATACTGATCAGAAAATTTCTTGAGCTCATCATCATCATCATCATCATCATCATCATCATCATCATCATCATCATCATCATCATCATCATCATCATCATCATCATCATCATCATCATCATCATCATCATCATCATCATCATCATCATCATCATCATCATCATCATCATCATCATCATCATCATCATCATCATCATCATCATCATCATCATCATCATCATCATCATCATCATCATCATCATCATCATCATCATCATCATCATCATCATCATCATCATCATCATCATCATCATCATCATCATCATCATCATCATCATCATCATCATCATCATCATCATCATCATCATCATCATCATCATCATCATCATCATCATCATCATCATCATCATCATCATCATCATCATCATCATCATCATCATCATCATCATCATCATCATCATCATCATCATCATCATCATCATCATCATCATCATCATCATCATCATCATCATCATCATCATCATCATCATCATCATCATCATCATCATCATCATCATCATCATCATCATCATCATCATCATCATCATCATCATCATCATCATCATCATCATCATCATCATCATCATCATCATCATCATCATCATCATCATCATCATCATCATCATCATCATCATCATCATCATCATCATCATCATCATCATCATCATCATCATCATCATCATCATCATCATCATCATCATCATCATCATCATCATCATCATCATCATCATCATCATCATCATCATCATCATCATCATCATCATCATCATCATCATCATCATCATCATCATCATCATCATCATCATCATCATCATCATCATCATCATCATCATCATCATCATCATCATCATCATCATCATCATCATCATCATCATCATCATCATCATCATCATCATCATCATCATCATCATCATCATCATCATCATCATCATCATCATCATCATCATCATCATCATCATCATCATCATCATCATCATCATCATCATCATCATCATCATCATCATCATCATCATCATCATCATCATCATCATCATCATCATCATCATCATCATCATCATCATCATCATCATCATATATATATATATATATATATATATATATATATATATATATATATATATATATATATATATATATATATATATATCATGTCATATCTGTCATGTTTTCTTAAATTAGTAGTAGCAATCAACGTGTCTAAGAGTAAATAAAGTAACCGATTAAGTTAAAATACAAAATTATTTTAAGTAACATTGATAAATACAGTTACATATTTGATAAACATTTAAAAATCTGATTTCAATAAACTGAGTTTTCATATTAAATAAATATTCTATCCACAACGTCTTGGATTTCTACCCTATATGTTCAATTTTGGAGAATTTCAAACTAGTGTAAAATCGCTTTATGGCAAAATTTCTCTTCCAATATCTTTCTAGATAAAGTTTATTTATAATGAAAGTTGCAAGGAAACCATATCATACAAATGACAAACCGTTAAGTGATAGATTAGTAATTATTCATCCAATCCTTTAAGTTCGGGACGTATTCCATCGATGAGAATGAAATTCGATCACTAATGTAATTGACTAGACATCGTGTTGAATTTTCCATTAGTTGTAGGTAGTTAATCATGACTGAAGTGATTAGACAAACATAACAATAGTTACTAACCAGTGATCAATCATTTGTAAGCACCTTGATGCCACAAGTGGTCCATTGAGCTTCAAGTAGCTCAGTAAGAATGTTTGAAATTGTGAAGCTGAGTGATCCGGGTTTATTTGCTTTAGGACGTTAAGTAACCTATTTTTTTTTATAAATACAAAATATCCTGAAACATAGGTGCTACGTTCATGTCACCTACTCCAACCAAACAATAATACAAAAATATCAGTTAACTATCTTTTTACATTGATTTTACCGAACTCTATTTTCCTATAGGTAAACGTTGTTCATTATGACAAATTTATCAACAATATCTTAGATCATGATTGCCTTTCATGATCATATCCAACTGTTACATAATTTGTACAATGTAATTATTTTCAAAATACTGATAGTTTTCAGTTCTTAATATGATTCAGTCACTAAACTTCTGTTAAAAGGCATAATGAAAAGTAAATCTTGATTACTCTATGCAAAAGTATTGAAATGAAAAATCTAATGATAATTGTATTTCAGTGTTTATTTACTTTCCTGTTAAATAAATATTAATTCAGCTTATTCTAAGTTTTCATATTAAATTCTATACATAATCTACGAACGAGATTACATAATTAGAAGATTGTTTATGCTTGAAAACTTATTACTTGAAAGAGGAATCTTTTGGAGCGATGTGTCCACAGTTTATTAAATGCTCCTGTATAGAACTAGTAATTGTTTTACATTCACATTTTTAAGAGCCAAGCCGGATAATGTTCTGAGATGCGTTTGGAAAACGATCACTTTGTGCGACCTATATAATGTGCCCCCGCATGAGCAAGTAAATTTATAGATATACATTGATGTCGCCCAAAGCAGAAATTTATTCTTAACACATCCAAGACTGGTAGACCGCACAAAGCCATCATTTTCCAAATGCATCTCAGAAGAAATCAGACTTGACTTTTAAAAGGTGAATGTAAAACAATTACTTATTACTTGATTACATTAACTGGAAAATAGAATCTAAAATTGATTGATAACTTAATGGTCAATACTGTCATATTTGTCTAATACTTTAGTACTAATCACACTTTATCGATTCAGTTGCAATAAAACCACTCGTGTGAATGATTTGATATCATATCCCTTTATGTCTAAATCATGAATTATTGGATATAAGAAGCTTCTTGGTGGTCATCTTCAGTCATCTAACATGTATGATCTTTTCTCATTGACTTGTTTACAATCGAAATTGTATATAAACAATTAGATGATGTAATGTAATTGACAACAATGATGATTACTCAGAGAATTTATAATCTTCACATCATGAATTAATCACATTTTTTTCATAATTAACCAATACATATATTGACAAACTTGTTGCTATGTCAACATTAAAAAGAAAAAGAACAAACTCAGAAATTCATATATTTACGTAATTATTTATTCATTATACATAGATGATGTCAAATAAAACAACAACAAAAATTATATGAAATTGTTAATGATTATTGCCTATTCTTTATCAATTTTATTCATTCATATTTGAGTAGTAAGTTGTTCTATCTGTCATCACATTACTTTGTGTACCTTTAAAAAAAAATAATAATTAAAAACAAAACAAAACAACGTCAACTGTTAATTTTAGTAAGTTACAAAATCAATAATTAAAGTAACTAATAACACTATATTTCACACTATGGATTAATATTAGGTAGGAAACTATTGAAAACTGAGAAACACTGGGTAAATGTTTCATTCTAATATAGAACTTCCCAAGATTGTTCATATATATATATACAACATCCGTGGTCGAACCCATGACCTTCATTAGTAATTTATGTGTGTATATATCTCGCCTTATCAGTTAAATATGCTATTTAATAGTTTCATGAGTTAATTTATTAAAGAGAAGTTAGAATGAGAACAAGTTTACCAATGATTAATTAGGTTATGATACTGGAAATTCAGAAATTTAGGCTTTTTAATATGTTTGAAATTGCTTATTAATACATGTATATAACTATTCACGGAAGAATGTCATCAATGTTCATCATCATTGATGAATAACTATTTCACTAATTACTTAGTTAATTTCATTAATCCTAGTTTTCCTATTGTTTTGGTGTGTGCTACTCATATTGATATAAGTAATATATGATGTTAGTCGTGAACAGAAGGTCTGGCAGCAGAGACAAGAGAATTGAACAGTAAAGAATGGAAACAAAATTCAATTAGTATGAAAATGTAAGAACAATGAAGTCGGAGTCATTATGAGACAATTGATGGACAATTTGCAAACTACGTATTTACTATTTGATTGTTAGATTTTACTAACAAGTCCTGTTTGTCCGCACTGGTGTTCTTGTTCACTGCACTGTTACTCTGCGAAATTCATGTCAATGTCAGTTTTCAAATCCATTCCGTTTTAGGATCATATAATTTTACATGATGAAATAACGGTATTGATTTGTACTAAATTCATGTCTTTTTTCTTACATAGAAAACTGAAGATATTTAGGTAAGACTACAATTTATGGACGAACCATTCAGATTTAGGATAACAGGTTGTGGATTTTAGGCGCGAAATTCACGCATGCAATTGGCTAAATATAAGTTTTGGCATTTTCTCTGATGTCAGTTCGTGATGCAAAACTGTAAATCTAATTCTTAACGTTAACCATCAACTGTGAATCATAATCCTTATTTTTCAAACTACTTGATAACTCTCATTTAGCCCTAGTAGGTAGGTAGATACTCTCATGGTCACTTTGATGTCGCTCAAAGGTCATCCATAAATTATAGTCTCACTGATACTTATTTTCATTTAAAACTTAAAGTGTTACAAATTGAATTGATTGTTTTGTGAAATATTTTTCAAGTTTTCACGTAGAGCATTATAATTCAAGATCAGAGTCTACTGAAAACTATTGAAATCACGTAGTATTACAGTTTGATCATTTCATTATACACAGTATTCTAATATAGTAGTTTAATTGATAAAGATTTGTATTTGTCATAAACAACTAAGTAGGTTGATAATCAATCATTGGTAACATTTTTGAGATTAAAGAATCACTTTATCATTGAAGAATAATTTTGTTTACATCATCATAGATTCGGATCATGAGATAGTTTCATGTCATAACATCAGCTAACAAAACATACTACAGTCGGAATATTCTATTATCATGAAAGCAAGATTCGTAATTGTTATTTGCAAAGATAAGTGTACACTTTAAATTTTATTCATATCTATGAAACAGTGTATTATCACAGTGTTATATATGCGTCTGTTAATAGTTATACTTGAAAACAAGGTATCGCTACAATTTCCAAGACTCAAAAGTAAGGATAAATAAGACTGATACAAGTGAAGATTTATTTTACCTCCAAAACATTATGATCACTCTATTCAAATATGTACTCATACACATATTGATTTTTACACCTATTAGATTATTGATTAGTAAATAGTCACATATATGAAGTCATGGCAAAATCGTACGTTTTATGTCATGTCGAATATAATTAACGTTAATTTAATACAGGACTATCATATCTTGAATGCTTACATCACACTAAAGTAAATCATTATTATGCTGAACAAAATAGCACACTGAAAATAAAGCGAATTTCACACCAAATGATCATCATATTGAATTGAAGAATGAAACTAATGTTGAACATGAATCGCAATGAGTTAAAAATGCCATTTTGCTTTTTGATGCCGTCGCATCATATAGAAGAATTGGTTAGCATAACCTAAGGTGTGTTATTATTCAATTTATCGATTGCTTCCAGATTTTGTTGCATAGTAAAAAAATACAATTCTTATGAAGATAAAGTTTTTATGTTATGAAAGGATACAGTCACGTAGTGCTATGCAATGCCTAATCAGATGACAATCAACCGATCTAATATGGAGGTCCACAATTAAAATAATCTTTGAAATAACATTATAGCTGTTCAGTCGTTATTTTATTTATTTTTTTGTTTGTTCAGTTATCCATTGAACTGTATGTGGGTAAATTAAACCTTTCTGATATATCAAGTTCAATGAAAGTAATTATTTTCTTTATCTGTGCCTTATTTTACCACGTTGTTAAGATATATTTATCAGTAAGGGCTTGTGGAGATTGTTGAGCTTAGAATGATATCATGAATGAATCAATATTGGGTCACTATTGAAAACCTGGAAGCACTGTTTGACGGTCATTTCACCGTAGTATGAGACTCCCCAGTAGTACACATCCATGATCCCGCACACGGGATTCTAATCCGTCTCATGTGCGAACGCCTAACCATCCAACATCCAACAGTGTTAATGTATAACTTCAGTTAATCCACGATATTGCGCCACCGTCTTCTATTGTCTTCAGTCAGTAACTTCTTCACAACAGACACGAATGAACTCCACTGGTCATGACTTCTCATTAGGATTGCAGAAAATCCATGTTGAAGCCAGTCACTAGTAAGGACCTACTAATTATCAGCAAGAGGTTGTAGAGATTGTTGAGGTTAGACTGATATCATGAATATTGATCTAACATTGAGCCATTCATAATATCAATCTAAGATTAGATTTATCTTTAATTTCCTTTTGACTATGATTAATATTTATACTCTCCTGTCTACTTTTAAATCATTTATATACACAAATTCTTGTCTAACTACATAATAACTTCAAATTAAGTTCCAACGGCAGTATTCTACTTGCTATAAAAACGTTTTATCCTTATTGTTATTATTATTATTATTATCTAACAGTTATATATAATATATAAAAATGTTAAGCTAATGTAGTTGGATAACTGTTTGACAATATTAATGTGTCTCCAAATGCCCTGGTACGGCCAAGAGTGGGGAGAGTTTACTCTCCCTCTCCAAATGCTCTCACATGGCCACGCGTATAGAGCCTCTGCCAGGGAAGTCCTACTCACTGCCTTCTCGTGGCAAGAGTGTTGTTTACGAAAATGAGAGAACGAAAATTGAATGTCCGGCGCTTCAACCTGGTTGGTGGACACGGTGAGTCCACGTAGGGGTGTTGGAAAACCCTGATTCCAAACCAATGGTGCACGTAAACTTCAGTACACTGAGGGAACAAATAGCGTATAATCCAAGTGTTGATCACCGGCTGCCATGAGACTGCATCTCCTGGCGTTGATCCACTGCCTTATGAATCAGACCTTTAGGTTGAATGTTCCAGGTGTGACCCCCTAAGAAAATCACCTGCTTCGGTTTGGTCACCCAGGCAGTATTACAGCCCTTACACAAATCTAATGAGTTTTATATGGTGCATATCTATCTGATTTCCCCGTTTTACCAGTATTTATATGTTCAACACACATTGTTCAAGAGGGCGAGGACACACTTCAGCACACTGGCAGCACGAAAAAATGAAGAGAAACACCTGAAGGACATATTTCAAAAGAACGGCTACCCAATCAACTTCATCAAAAAGCACCAACGGCACACAGCATCAGAACCCAAGTCAAGCACAAAAATCAACAAAAGGATCACCCTACCGTACATAAAAGGAATATCAGAAACCGCAACGAGACTGCTGAAAAACTTCGGGATAGGTGTGGCACACAAACCAACAAAATCACTACAATCAATCCTATGCAAACCAATGGATGAAATAACAAAGGAAAACAAATCAAACATCATCTACAAAATAAATTGTACCAACTGCGACAAACACTACATCGGACAAAGCGGACGCCCCCTCCATCTACGCTTACATGAACATCAATTAGCAGTCAAACACCATGATATCTCTTCACTTATATCAATACACGTGGATAACTACGGACACTCATTCGATTGGGAAAATGTAGAAATCTTAGACAGAGGAAACTCCAAAAATACCAGAGAATTTTTAGAGGCCTGGCACTCAGGTCAATCAGCAATCAACAAACATATTGAAATCAATCCAATTTATCAACCAATCAGGAAAATCATGCATAAATATAGGAACAAATGGGAGACTCAACCAAAACAAATAAGTAAACAATGATAAATTTAAGGTCAACAAGAACCAATCAACATCGAGGTGCACAGAACAAGCTGTGAAACACATATGGAGAAATTCGAACACTTCACTTCTATTTGAATTTTGTACTGATGATGTCGTTCAGAAGAACGATGAAAGCTCCACAACCAAACCATCCAACTCAGAGAACAAAACTCTACCAAAATCATCCATTTGAGCTACAAATCTTCTCCACTATATGTTCAACTAAATAATATAAAAAAAGATATAAACATATTACTTATCATAAATAATAATATTACTTACTATCAACATATGCTGTAGTTTGAACATAAGTTTCTGTAACATTATGTAATAAATCTCTTGAATTATTTATATCTAATTTATTATCTAATAATTCACTTAATTTTTCAATTTTACGTTGTTTACGTTGATATTTTAATGCTTCATTAGAACTATTTTCAATTAATTCATCTAAAAAATTATCAATATTTATAGCAGATATAATTTTATTTATATATTTTCTACATAATGGACATGTATTACGTATTTTAAACCAATAATATAAACATTCACGACAAAATTGATGTCCACATGATAATAAACGGGTTCGAACTAATAAACCATGACATATAGAACATAAAAATGATTGTTTAATTAAATTATCTAATAATTGATTATTAGTTAATTGTATATTATCTAAATCAATAAATGTGACATTTTTATAAGTTTCAATTTCATTAAATATTTCATTATGATTAGATTGATATATATATGATTGTGAATCAATTAAACAATTTGATAATATTTCATTAACTTGAATTGAACAATTTCTAAATGATAATTTCATATTAATTGATGATTGTATCATCATAATAAGAATAAGAATAATAATGAAAATTTAATTAATTTAGTTACTATGTTAATTTTCTACATATTTATATACTAAATAGAACAAATGTATCCGTTTTAGTTGTAGTCATATGATATGAAATGTGACTTTATATTGATTTAGATATACATGAAAAGAAATGGTATGTGTTAGTAATAAAACTCTATAGATTATACTATTTTTTTTTTAAAAATTCATTAGAGTTTTAAAAAGAAACTTGATATGATGAATAAAATGTACTTTGTGCTTAAATATATTTGAATAGATGAGAGTATTATTGTAGAAAAAACTGTTTGAAATAATAATTATCTCTTGAAAGCAATGCTTACTTTTACTTATTTACTTACTTACGCCTGTGAAAGAGCATCGGATACCTACAAGCATTCTCCATCTAATTTTGTCTTGAGAAATTCTTTTCAGATGTTAATCAACCTTTTCATGTTTGATTCCGATTTTCAACGTAGTGCATTCTTCGACCTTCCTCTTTTTCGTTTCTCTTTAGGAGCTTGCCCAGTGATGCAGTTTGATGATTTTCGTCTTTTCCTAATCTCTTTTTCACCTAGAAGTTGATTTGTTTCCTCATACAGTTGGATGTTGCTGATGATATCTGGTCAACGGAGATTTTAGTAATTTTTAGAATTGAATTTATGAGTTAATTGAATCTAGAATACCATGGAAAACCTAGAAGCACTGAAAAGCCATTTTGTCGTAGTAGGAGACTCCTCAGCAATGCACATGCATGATTCCGTCCCGCGAGATACGTGGGATTCGTCTCATGAATTCAACTATCAAATCACTAAAATCTCCACAAAACCCCTCTCTAATTATAATAATCATATGCTCACTAGTGACTCGCTTCAAGAGGTATTTTCTGGAGTTTTAGGTGAGAGGCAGTGACCGGTGGATTTCAAATGGGTCTGTTGTGAGATGATAACTCAGTGAAGACAATGATAGACGTATCTCTCAATTTCGTGGATTAGTTGAAGTTAGACATTAATACCATTGGATGCCGGTCGGTTCAATGGTTTAGAGGTTAAGCGTTCGCGAGCGAGACTGATAGATCCTGGGATGGAATCTCACGAGGCGGGATCGTGGATGCGCACTGCTGGAGAGTCCCACAATAGGACGAAACGGTCATCCAGTGTTTCCAGGTTTTCTATGGTGGTCTGGATTTAATTGACTAATGAATTCAACTATAGAATAACATCAGTCAGTTAAATGTGAATCACGTGAAAGTTCACGATGTGAAAATAAATGACTGAACGAATTGTCTGTGTATGTATGTGTAAGTTTGAGTCATTAGTAGTTGATATTACTGTTAATAATATTTAATAGATGACAATTTTATGGCTTAAAATTAATCTAGTCATTATCTTCATATTTGTATAAGTTTGTACTAATATGCAAGCATGTATGAAACATGTGTCTTGGATTCCATTGCTGTTGTGAACGGGAAAATAAGAAGCCCAGACAACTACGAAAGCTATTTCCTGGGACGTTATTTCATTTCATTCAAACCTTGTAAAACATATTTATTTTTGTCCCTATTTTATTCTACATAACATGAGCTTTCGTTCTATGTATCATTCACTGCCATACCCTTTTTTGTTCTGAGAATATTGTAATTTAAACATAATATTTTGCACCTTATTTTCTACCCTAATTCCCAGTTTCGGGCATAATTGTATTTTTCCAAATTATCGTAAGTTGTGGTCAGGATATTCACTTATTTATTCATGTACATTTTTGCACTAATCCGAATTCAGAGTGTTCCAACTGTTGTGTCTTCTCTCACTTGCGTGCTTGCCAACCAGTCATGTTCTAAAATAGTTCTCTCTCTACCCCATCTCGAACTCACGCGTATTAGCCTCAAGGTTAAGCCGCACAGTCTATTGTGCCAAGGTCATAATCTAGACTAGACAGATCAAGGTCAAGTCATAACGAGTATCAACGGGGTAAAAGCGATTCAAGGTCATAACAATTGCTAACAACCATCTATGTATGAAAATTATTTAAGCTTTTTATCAACCACTATACTTACAAAATATCATTGAGATCTAGTGTTAATATTTATACCTAATGCTCTTTCATTTGATGTTAATTTCTCAGTGAGAACTCTCCATATTTAATACCATTTATTTGATTACAACAGAGAATTCTCGGCATAAACCATGCAAAATCCTGAACAGAATTATCGTTTAATGTTTATTCAACTAGTAAATATTCAAAAGGTATTAAAATAAACTGTTTCCATAGTGATTATGTGTTATTGATCTAGATAGGTAAACTACTTCAATCTATTCTGGCATTAAACTATTTCACTCATAATGTACGCTTGATATTTGAAATAATTAAGAAAAATACAGGTCTTCTTCTATTGTTTAAAATGTCGACTAGAAGGGGAAATACACAAAATACTGCGGTCTTTATACCTTTATGTTTTTAGATATCAATCACTGAGATAAATTGTTTAGTTTGTCATAAAAGCCTGTGAGCATATAATAAAGTTAAGACATGTAATTAACAAATATAGGGGATTTTTGTAGACTGTTCAATTTTCATAACTTACATCACTGACGGATTTTAGACAATTATTGTAAACCATGGAGTAGTGAACAGTTATTTGGTTCTAGTATGAAATTACTCGGTAGTTTGCATCTACGATCACAACAGTTCAATAGTCTAGAAGTTAAGCATTTATTTTGAAATCGAAAGCTCTGGGTTCGAACATACACCATTAGAGTATCCCAAAACAGGACAAAACAAATGTTGACCGTTTACCAGTTTTCAAATAGCTTTCTCATTAACATCAGTTTATGATATAAACTATGACTTAACTGATAGTTGGTTAGTTCTAAAATTGAAGCACAATTCTCGTAGTTAGAAAACAAATTATACAGAGGTTTGAATAGACCTTCGAAATTCATTGTATTCCAAATATCTAAGTTCTAGGCATTATTTATAATTGAACATTTTATTAAGTTTACCATACTTAACTCTTAATTTCAAACTTCACTGGTTGAAATCATGAGTCAACTGAAGCTAGACCACCATGAAACACCTGGAAGCATTGAATGGCCGTTTCGTCCTGGTATGGGACTCCTCAGCAGTGCACATCCACGATCCCGCACCCCTCGGGATTCGAACCCAGGACCTACCAGTCTCGCGCGCGAACACTTAACCATTGGACCATTGAGCTGGCGTTCAACGGTGTTAATGTCTAACTTCAACCAATCCACGAATTTTCGCCACCGTACACCATTGTCTTCAGTGAGTTCCTATCTCACAACAGACTCAGTTGAACAGCACTGGTAACGACTTCTCATTAGAACTCCAAGAGTGTCTCCTGAAGTCAGTCACTAGTGAGCAGATGATTATTATTATCAGAATGGTCTTTTTGTGGAGATTTTTAGAAATTTCACTGGTTGAAATCATGAGTCAATTGAAGCTAGACCACCATGGAAAACCTGGTAGCTTTGGACGGCCGCTTCGTCCTATTGTGGGACTCTTCAGCAGTGCGCATCCATGACCTCTCACCCTGCGAGATTCCGTTATGCAATTAAAGAAGACATCATTATTTCTATTTTTTTCTTTACGTAACTACTTTCTCATTATTTTGACGAAGTCAGAAACGAAGAATGTAATCTACCACAAAATGTATTAAAAAAAATAACAAACGAACACAGTCTACACCTAAAATAAAAATTCATTCATACTTTCAATAGATTCATTCATATAGCTGAATACCAAGTGAAGTAGAAAAAAAAGTTTTTTTTAGAAATATTTTTCTAACAAATCATTGTATTAAGTGTGACAACTGTATTTTCTGTTGTCAGTGGTCACTGTCACTTGGTTTACTGTGACACACGCAATTTTTTCCCCGGTAAACTAATTCATCATTGTAATATTATGAAAACAATATTCTGGTTGTTAAATTACATCACATGTCACAACTAATTATTTCATATAATAATACTAATACTAATACTAATACTAATACTACTACTACTACTAATAATAATAATAATAATAATAATAATAATAATTATTATTATTATTATTATTATTATGTGAATTTGACACCGTAATCAATGTAGTTATCGTTTCAGCTTATAAAAAGAACACAAGAACAATAATCGTTGTAAGATAATGGTGTGATGATTTTCTTTCAACCAATCACAGCCTGAAATATTAATTGAATCCCGAATTATTATTATTACTATTTTAAATCAGCATGAACATTTATTAAACATGTTTCTAGGAATGTATTGACTATAAATATAGATGATATTGATGCAAAATAAATTAAAGTAACTGTTATTAAAGAATTGACACGCACAAAAAAAAACATTGGTAGAGTTAGCTAGCTGTAGTATTATAATGGACTTTACTCATAGGATTGCTTATAAGTAATACATTAGAGGGTTGTATATGAGTTACTACAGTCAATAGCTGGAGACAGATGTCTCAGGAAGCCAGCCAAAACACGGCGAAGTTTCGAATACTTATGAGGCTAGAAGAAAATCTATAGAAGGCAGTCTACAACTAGCTTAAGTTGCAAAATACACAATAGATGCAAATGAAAGATTAAAGACTAAGTGTATATAATTAATAAATAATATGCGCTTCCCTTCTAATTTAATCTGATTATTCTGTCTGGTCTTGGCTTGTTCGAACATTACGGTATCATTATATCAGATCAACCAAAGTTTATATATTGAAATAGAATCAGTCTTAGGGGAGCGTAATTTCCGATATTTAGCAAATAAATAATTTATTTCATGTCAAAATCTTTCTTTTAAATATTCGTCTAAAATCTTCTTCAGTTTTCTACAAGCTTAGATCATTTTACTATTTCATTGTTGTTAAGCTAGGATAAGAAGGCAAGTTCATGTTTGCTCTAATTCGATGTTATATATAATGACGTGAGTTCCATTCTCTGAATGACACTGAAATTACTTTTATTCTCAGTGTAACATTTCAATCAGTGTGTTATTCTTATTATATTTTCCAGTCTAACATTA